CAACCAGTGAGCACCAGCTGCTCTGTCACAACTCTGATGTAGCTGAGAGCCAAGATGAGGAAGAATACCAGCATGGAGACTCAGGATCAACTAGAAACACAGAGCTTCAAGCAGAGAAAAGACATCATGAAAGTGAAATGAACAGTAACAGTCCACACACCTCTGCTGTGATAAACTTAAATACAGGTAAAAAACCTTTAAAATGTGACGTATGTGGGAAAGGTTTTGAGCGCAAGTCAAAATTGCAGAGACACCTGAACAGCCACACAGGTGAGAAGCCGTTTGCTTGCAAAACATGCGGGAAAACATTCAGTCATAAGTCAGGATTGGAAAGGCATTGTAGAATCCACACAGGTGAGAAGCCGTTTTCTTGCGATACATGCGGGAAAAGATTCAGTCAGAAGTCAGGATTGGAAAGGCATTGTAGAATCCACACAGGTGAGAGGCCGTACCTTTGCAAGACCTGCGGGAAAAGATTCAGTGAGAAGTCAGGATTGGAAAGGCATTGTAGAATCCACACAGGTGAGGAGCTGTTTTCTTGCACAATATGCAGGAAAAGATTCATTCAGAAGTCAGGATTGGAAAGGCACATGACAATCCACACAGGTGAGAAGCCGTATACTTGTAAAGTATGTGGGAGAGCTTTCGGACGTAATTGTTATTTGTTAGCCCACATGAGGACTCATTCAGGGGAGAAGCCGTATACTTGTAAAGTATGTGGGAGAGCTTTCGGACGTAATGGTGTCTTGTTGTTCCACATGAGGACTCATTCAGGTGAGAAACCATATACTTGTAAAGTATGTGGGAGAGCTTTCGGACGTAATGGTGACTTGTTAGTCCACATGAGGACTCATTCAGGGGAGAAGCCGTATACTTGTAAAGTATGTGGGAGAGCTTTCAGACGTAATGGTGACTTGTTAGTCCACATGAGGACTCATTCAGGTGAGAAGCCGTATACTTGTAAAGTATGTGGGAGAGCTTTTGGACGTAATGGTGACTTGTTAGTCCACATGAGGATTCATTCAGGGGAGAAACCGTATACTTGTAAAGTATGTGGGAGAGCTTTCAGACGTAATGGTGACTTGACAGTCCACATGAGAATCCACACAGGTGAGAGGCCGTATACTTGCAAAACATGTGGGAAAAGATTCAGGAATGTGTCCACATTGACAAGGCACATGAGAATCCACACAGGCGAGAAGCCACATACATGCAAAACATGTGGGAGAGGTTTTACAGGGAAACGTTGCCTGATTATCCACATGAGAAACCACACAGGTGAGAAGCCGTATACTTGTAAAGTTTGTGGGAGAGCTTTCAGACGTAGTGATGTCTTGTTAGTCCACATGAGGACTCATTCAGGGGAGAAGCCGTATACTTGCAAAACATGTGGGATACATTTCAGATCTAGCAGTAACTTGACATTCCACATGAGAACTCACACAGGTGTAAAGGTGCATCACTTGAGCACAGAGGTTCCAGTTGAAGTCACACATATACAGGAGAGAGACTGTTTACATGCAAAACATGTGGCAGAGCTTTCAGAGGCCTGTTCCATAAAGCATGCTAAGAAAAGTGGGGAGTGAAGTCCAAATCCTGAATTTTAATTGAAATTGCAGGTCTGGAAAAGTTAAACTAGTGAGATAAAGAACAAAAGGAGGAGACTGCTTTAAAGTCTGAATGAATTTTATACTTGCAAGAGTCATGGAAAACCTGGAAAAGTCATGGAATTAGTCAAAATCATTATAAGTCACAGAACTTGTTTGTGTATAATGAAATTATTAGAATCATCTTCAGTGGATAACCCTCCATATAATGTAACATAATGGCAAATTCATTTTCTGAAGCTGGCGTCTTAATGTAGCTTTAATATGCGTCGATGTATGACAATGTTTGTTTACCATCAGGTGTGTTTTGTCATTTTCTCCCTCAGTTTGTCTCTCCCTTCCTGTGTGCCAATTATGTTTGCATAGAGTTTGAATCTGATGTTTGGAAAACGGCGGGCAAGTGGGGAAAGAAAAAGAAAATTCTTCATTATGAGTCCTTGAAAAGTCATGAAAACGTTTGGAAATATTGTCCATGAAAATGTGAGCGGAAGCTGTAATTAAAAGTATGAGTGATTTTGCAGTGAGCACAGTAATAAACTGATCCCAGAAGATTTGTCCTGTTGCTGTGATCTTTTGTCAGGGTGTCTACGGGTCCTTTGAAATGATTTAATTTTTTCTTAATTTAAGGCCTCAAAAAGTTTAAAATTGTCTTAAATTCAGATTCAATGGGTCTTAAATATCTTTGGAAAAAATCTCCAGCCTGACAGACCCAATGACAGTTTACAATCATTGTGCAGACCGAAGAAAAATTGTTTTTCCTTGCTGTATTTCTCTGAAGATTGCAATAATAAGTAGCATTTATGACAGCCATGAGATGGTTTTAAATTCCATATAAGGTGGCATTAAAAATGTCTTAAAAAGTCTAAAATTTACCTTGGTTATATCTGCAGACACCGTGTTCTTTGGTGCATATGAGCAACTTTTCAACAGTGACACCAGAAAGTGGGAAAAACTGTTTTTACCTTGTGCCTGTCACATCTGTGATCTGTGCCTGTAGACTGAATGAGGAACTAGAAAAGCACTCAGAGTGCAGACCTCCACCAAGTAAGTGATATTCCCTCCCCCTCTGCATCAGATTTTGCAGCCTGCATCACAATTAGGTTGTTTGCATCACTATCATTATTAGGTTATATACGCCTTCATCATGGAGACACTGTGGTGTATTTATTTCGTTTCTATTTTGTACCAAGGCACAATATGTTTTTTGTATTTTTCACTTTCTTTTTTTCCAGCACAGAACATCAATTTCAATTTTAGAATTACAACAATATTCAGCAAGTAGAACAATATGTGCTTTCCGGCCACCAGATGGCGCTATTTTCACCGTCTTTAGAAATTGGAATTGCTGCTGAGGCTGTCAGAAGATAGACTATTTATTATTTTATCCACTTTGCTTCAACTGATCACCACAAAAATGTTAGCATCTGTTCCATGTCCCATTATCCACCTTTCCTGAAAATTTCATCAAAATCCGTTCATAACTTTTTGAGTTATTTTGCAGACAAACAAACAAACAGACCAACGCCGGCGAAAACATAACCTCCTTGGCGGAGGTAATAAAAAATGCGATGTTACTGCAGGTGTAGATGCACGCAGAAGCCACCGCGATCAGAGTGCAGGTTGGCCAGAGCTCAGTTTGGCCGGACCACATTTAGAGGAGGTACACTACAGCAGCTGACTTTAGAAAATGAAACCTTAATGATTTTAGAATATCACACACAATCCACACAGGTGAGAAGCCATTTACTTGCACAACGTGAGAAAGCTTTGAGGTGTAAAAGTAGCCTGACGACCCACATGAAAATCCACACAGATGAGAAGTCATAACTCTCCAAGACCTGCAGGAAAAGAACCTTTGATGTGTCTCAAGTAAAAAGGCATATAAGATCTCACACAGTCAAGTGGCCTTGTGTTTTAAAAACAAGTAGGAGACATGTCAGTTCTGGGTCATGGTCAAAACATACAAGAACTCTGGAAGTGAGGAGTTACATGTTTGCAGAGTGTGGTTAAAATGTTTTTTACTCAAATCACACCTGAAGATCAATAAACACAGCTGAAACTTCTGTGGAGATGCGTTCATGAAATGAATGAAGAACAATGTCTCATCATGAGGAGACTGAAGAAGTACATTTTATTAAAATGCCATCAAGACCTGATAAAACTGACCAATCAAAGCGGACTGGGCTTTTTCAGGAGAAGAGCTTCAAGAGACGGGTGGTCAAACTGAGCGTTTCAGACTTAGGGTGAATACGATACATTCAGGTTGACAGTATGAGGAAAATAATATATATTCTTTAATTAAAGCGTGGATACATGTTCTATTAGAAACTCCAAATACAAGTATGAACCTATGAATAAGCATTATATGGTACCTTTAAATACGCCCCCCCCAAAAAAGACATCCGTGTAGTTATTGCTGCCTTTTTATGAGCCATCAATGATACTGAGACTACTTGTTACAGCCCGGACACTGATATTAGAAATTATAATTGCCAACCATTGGAAGCGGAACACATGAAAATCTCATGTATTTCACCGTCGGAACTTAATAGTGTAACATCCAGCGGAAGTACAAAACCAAACAAAGGCGCCGGTCGCGTTTCCCAAATGACTGAGTTAACTTCGGGAGGTTAATCTATGAGTTAAACCTCGAGCCACATTTACTGTAGCCTACATTAGACAACAATGTGTTCAGTTGAGTCTTTGAGAGAGTTTGTCAACGAGCGACTAACTGCTGCTGCTGAAGAAATATTGGGAGTTTTTCAAAGAAGCATCGTCGAGTACGAGGAAGAGATCGATCGTCAGCGCAGACTGTTGGATATCGTTTTGAAGCCTGAAATAAAGTTACACAGGACAGGTGGGTGAAAGCTAATTGAAGTAATTTACTGGCATGTGTGTATATTTGCTGTAGCATGACATTAGTATGCTGTTGGTGTTGTTGTGTGTCCCTCCAGAGCTCCCACAGCAACATGTGTGTAAGGAGGAGGAGGTTGTCCCTGAGCAGCAGCTCTGTATTGAGGAGAGGAAGTCCAGTGTGGACCAAGAGGAGCCAGAGCCTCCACACATTAAAGAGGAAGAGGAGGAAGTGTGCAGCAGTCAGGAGGGAGAGCAGCTTGTAGTGAAGCAGGAGACTGATGGCTTTATGTTGACTCCTGCTGATGAGGAAAGTGAGCAGAGTGAAGATCAGACTCTGGACTTCATTCATGATGACACTCAAAGTGCAGCAGAGAAAGAGTCTGTATTTAAAATGCCAGTTATAAGCTCTGTGATATCAGAAGCAACCAGTGAGCACCAGCTGCTCTGTCACAACTCTCATGTAGCTGAGAGCCAAGATGAGGAAGAATACCAGCATGGAGACTCAGGATCAACTAGAAACACAGAGCTTCAAGCAGAGAAAAGACATCATGAAAGTGAAATGAACAGTAACAGTCCACACACCTCTGCTGTGATAAACTTAAATACAGGTAAAAAGCCTTTAAAATGTGACATATGTGGGAAAGTTTTTGAGTGCAAGTCAAAATTGCAGAGACACCTGAACAGCCACACAGGTGAGAAGCTGTTTTCTTGCAAAACATGTGGGAAAAGATTCAGTGACACATCAGCATTGAGCGCTCATATAAGAACCCACACAGGTGAGAAGCCGTTCCTTTGCAAGACCTGCGGGAAAAGATTCAATGAGAAGTCAGTATTGAAAAGGCATTGTAGAATCCACACAGGCGAGAAGCCGTTTACTTGTGACGTATGTGGGAGAGCTTTTGGACATAATGGTCACTTGTTAGTCCACATGAGGACTCACACAGGTGAGAAGCCGTATACTTGTAACCTATGTGGGAGATCTTTCAGGCGTAATGATTACTTGTTAGTCCACATGAGGACTCACACAGGTGAGAAGCCGTATATTTGTAAAGTATGTGGGCGAGCTTTCAGACATGATGGTCACTTGTTAGTCCACATGAGGACTCACACAGGTGAGAAGCCGTATACTTGTAACGTATGTGGGAGAGCTTTCGGACGTAATGGTGACTTGTTAGTCCACATGAGGACTCACACAGGTGAGAAGCCGTATACTTGTAACGTATGTGGGAGAGCTTTCGTACGTAATGGTGACGTGTTAGTTCACATGAGGACTCACACAGGTGAGAAGCCGTATACTTGCAAAACATGTGGGAAACACTTCAGATCTAGGAGTAACTTGACAGGCCACATGAGAACGCACACAGGTGTAAAGGTGCGTGACTTGAGCACAGAGGTTCCAGTTGAAGTCACACATATACAGGAGAGAGACGGTTTACATGCAAAACATGTGGCAGAGCTTTCAGAGGCCTGTTCCATAAAGCATGCTAAGAAAAGTGGGGAGTGAAGTCCAAATCCTGAATTTTAATTGAAATTGCAGGTCTGGAAAAGTTCAACTAGTGAGATAAAGAACAAAAGGAGGTGACTGCTTTAAAGTCTGAATGAATTTTATACTTGCAAGAGTCATGGAAAACCTGGAAAAGTCATGAAATTAGTCAAAATCATTATAAGTCACAGAACTTGTTTGTGTATAGTGAAATTATTAGAATGATCTTCAGTGGATAACCCTCCATATAATGTAACATAATGGCAAATTCATTTTCTGCAGCTGGCGTCTTAATGTAGCTTTAATATACGTCGATGTGTGACAATGTTTGTTTACCATCAGGTGTGTTTTGTCATTTTCTCCCTCAGTTTGTCTCTCCCTTCCTGTGTGCCAATTATGTTTACATAGAGTTTGAATCTGATGTTTGAAAAACGCCGGGCAAGTGGGGAAAGAAAAAGAAAATTCTTCATTATGAGTCCTTGAAAAGTCATGAAAAAGTTTGGAAATATTGTCCATGAAAATGTGAGCGGAACCTGTTATTCAAAGTATGACTGATTTTGCAGTGAGCACAGTAATAAACTGATCCCAGAAGATTTGTCCTGTTGCTGTGATCTTTTGTCAGGGTGTCTACAGCTCCTTTAAAATGTCTTAAAATGTCTGATATTAGGTTTTCACATTACTGTGAAAATTTCTCCAGCCTGACAGACCCAATGACAGTTTACAATCATCGTACCAGACCCAAGAAAATAAGTTGTTTCCTTGTTGTATTTCTGTGAATATTGCAATAATAAGTAGCATTTACTTTAATGTTTATTTAACAGGGACGATACATACAACATTGTCACAAAAAAATGGGAAAATGTGATGCATATAAGACATCTAGCTTCAGGTAATTTGCAGTCTTTGTCCCTGGTCAGGCTTTAAAATACAGTAAAATATACTGAATACAATAAAAAATGCAATGATACAAATACAGTGAATAATACAATGAATAAATAAACACAGTTGCAGTTGTAAATTACAGATTAAAACACAAATTAAGTTTAACATTAAACATTGGTAAAGTGCTGTTGTGTTGACAATGACTTGTGAGAAATGAATGTTCACATTTCTGCTGCTGCTTGAGCCAATGTTTAACTTTCACACTAAACCTCTTTAGGTCTGTTTGGGATTTAATTTCTGATGGTAAAGAATTCCAAAGGTGTGTACATTGCACTGAGAGGGATGATTGGCCAAATGTTGTCCTGCACCTTGGAATTTTACAGTTTTGCTTGATTATGCTCCTTGTCATTGTCCTACAGTTGTCTGTCTTTTTAAAGATCTGAGACATCACTTGTGGGGCCAGTCCATTTAAGCACTTAAAAACAACTTTCAGAAAGGAGAACTTTATAAAATTGGAACAAGTCAACAAATTGTATTTTTCAATGATTTTGCAGTGGTGCCCCATTTTTGTGGTTTCTGGTCTAAAATTTTCAAAGCTTGTTTATAGAGTGAGAATAATAAATAATAATAATAGTGAGAAGCCATTTACTTGCACAACATGTGAGAAAGCTTTGAGATGTAAAAGTAGCCTGACGACCCACATGAGAATCCACACAGGTGAGAAGTCATAACTCTCCAAGACCTGCAGGAAAAGAGACTTTGATGTGTCTCAAGTAAAAATGCATATAAGATCTCACACAGTCAAGTGGCCTTGTGTTTTAGAAACAAGTAGGAGGTTCTTGGGGTCCGTCCCAAGTCTCTTATTTTTATAGTGCTACTGAAGGGCTGCCAACTTTTCAAAAAACCTTGAAGTGAGATTTGGTGGGGCCAACCGAAATTTTGCCACATACACTACAATTTTTTGTATGGCCCATNAAATTATTCTAATTTGTATATACTACTATATATACAGTAATTTATATACAATTATAAAGCAGCATAGAGGAATGGTTTTGTATAGATAAAACAGACAAAATTAATTAGGCATCAACCTACAGTATACTTTTACTATATAAAAGTACTCCATGGCGGCGACCTGTACGTTGATGATTTTTTAAAGCAATTTCACGTCATGTGAAACTGATCACTGCTTTATAATGCATATTTAGATATCTACACTAAATACAAGAATGTCTTGGTTAATGTATTCTCTAATGTTATCAGTTACATGAATATACACTGATAACTTCACCACATCTGTCCGTATGTGCTTCCCAGGGTAAACTATAATAATAACAATAACAGTACTCCGAAGGGGCTTAACTTCAGTACCAGCCTGCGGTCTGCAGTTGGGTTGATAATAGTGATCCGAATTGATATTGATATCGGATAAAAACATATATTATGCATGAATCTATATTTTTACTTACCCCTAGTCACAATGCTGAATCTCACTATCAACATATATCCTTCATGTTTCAATCTCACCTGTGAGGCTCCTGTCTCTCCTCTATCTCCTCCTGTCTCTCTTCCATTTCCTTCTGTCTCTCTTCCTGCCTCTCCTCCTCCATCTCCTCCAGCCTCTCTACTACTTGTCATCTGACAAAAAATATACTAATGCAAGACATGTGAACAGTGGGACAATTTGAGATGCAACAGTCATAGATTTTGATTGTTGTAGCCTGAGGAAAACACACTGTATGTTTTACAATTGTGTAATTCATTAAACATCTGAATGTATATAGGCTAAAGAACAGCCATAATATCAACACAAGTTAGTCAGCTTCGTCATGTTAAACATAAATAAAATAAATCAACAAAAATGTAAATGCTCCAAAATCATTATAATACAACTATGTGCAAAATGTTGCACTTACACCCAATATCTATTACCTAAATATGACTTAGTTTTGGTGTTTTTACTGGGAGCAGTGGATCTCTATTCTCCTAAGTCTCTCCTTCACACACCATGGATGCTGAAGACTGTCA